ATCCCAACAATGCGAAGCAAGCACCTCTCACCCAAACTGGGAGGCCATTGCGGAACACCTCAACCAAGACCTACAATACTGGCTCCAAATGTTCGGTTGCAGGTCTCAGCTGTCTTGGATGGTGTAGCTAGGTGAAAGGATATCGTCGTTCATCTATATGTGACACAATATACCTGACCTTCATCATCATCATCTTCATTTGGCATCAAGTAAATGCTCATCACTTTGTCATTATTTCTAGCGAAATGATAGAAATGTGTTTAAAGCTGTGCGCGATCACATCAAGCTCGTTGATGTGGTGATCGACGGAAATGGGAAAATTTTTGAAGACGCGCTTAGTAAAAAGAAACTGAACAAAGCCAGTTTTACAAACAATCGGCGCGTGGCTTACCAAAAGATATGTGAGAAAACTGGAGGATACACAGGCAATTTGAAACTATCGGACATTGTAAAAGCGCCGCTCATTTTGGTGGACTTCTCGGAGGAAGACAGGTCAGTGATGAAGAGATTCGGACAATGGACGTGATAAGACTAATGGTTGTCAGAAACAATCTGCGTGATGGAGTTCCTCTGCAGCTTAAGTCATTGACATATCCTGAGTAATCATTGCCATTCGGAAAAGAAGGGGGGACTCATATCGTTAAAAACAATTTTAGATCTGTGGATCTTCACGACGATAAATATTTTTTGACGTCACAGAGAAGACCTTTTTTCTTACAGCGCTGTGGATTACTCTTTACGTTTCATCATGATATTCGACCTGTTCCAATGGCGTCTAAAGTGACGCGACAATATTTATATAAAAAGAAGGTGACAGGTCAAATGTTTACCTTAATCTGAATGCTATACGTATTAAATGATATACCCGGACTTCAATGCTTGATGGGATTCCCATTCCTGCAACCCCACTTTCGGCAAGGATGGCACAGATTACTATTTGGCTGAAATATTCATTAGTTAACGGCGAGAGTTCCCAATGTAATTTGACAAGTATCGCCAGATCAAAAGGCTGCCCTTGGCGTACAGACAAAATTGATTAATATAATGGCAACAACAGCAAAGGCGTTAAGTCTAACCAGCTGCCGTTTTCTTGGGACTCTCGTAAAGACAAATCGTGAGAATTGAACTAGCAGCACCTCGAATTTAGACAGATCAAAAGCATTGAGATAGTGATATAGGTCCTCTGATAAATATGTTCTTTTCAAACAAACTGCAATGACAGATGCTGCGCAGCATTAAGAGCTGATTCTTGCCAAAAAAACTTGTGACTCTATGGGTTTGTAATCCATATATCATGAAATATATTACTACCTTGGATTAAAACTTGTTCTGTCCTAGCCCGAAATCGCCATGACGTCTACACCGCGTTGTCCTACCGGAAGGTTCACTATAACACCTGCTACCCTATTGAAAGGGCATAGACGATTGTTACTTTGATGGCAGTGAATATTCCTTGATGCTGCGCTGGTAACTGAGTCGTTAAGTTCGTGGCTTTAAAGCAAAATAAAATTTTCGACCTGTATTACCTCTTTTATCAAGAATGTCGATTAAATCGCTTAAATAGCTGGCCTTTAGAATTTAGAGCGCTTCGTAATAGGCTGTCCATTGTTTCGTCTGGTTAAATTGTCGAGACGATTATGCTACTTGCACAGGTCTAATGCTGCGCATCATGAATACAGCGCAGTATAAGTAGAAAAATATTTGACTGATCATTTATCGGCAGGGCACAATATTCTTGCTCATTTGTGAAAATATGCTGTTACATATGATTGGATAATAAAAATTAAAAAGAGCAAGAGAATTATAGTACTCTCAAGTTGCCTTTACGGTACTTTCCATTTTGCCACCTACTAAGTCAATTCTCGCATCTAGCAGCGCAAGTAGATACTACTCAATCTGTCCAATTACATTTGGCTGCGCTTGTTGGTCCAAGCTGAAGCGCCTGCTATATCAATTTCTAGGAGTTATTAACTATTTTCTTTTCGGGATCTGATTCTGACCTTGCGACCTTATAGGACCCTGAACTTGTTAACACTAACTGTCCTGCATAAAAGGACAGCATCCGAAGAACTACTAAAAAAGGTTTTGGTATAGTATATATACGTGTTTTCCGCTAAGGTTCTAGATACACTGTCGCTGAAGCGTTGCTGTATTCGTTAAGGCTACAAACTATTCGACCTCCGAGCTCTCATTGAGTACAGTACTATCACTGCGGCGGTAAATGACACCTGTTTTGAGCATTGAATTGGTACTGAAGTACAAAGTTGGAAGCATTTGAGCGTTGTATATTTGGATTTTAGCGAATTAGCACGTACCCTGGTAACAGGGGTGTGTATGACACGAAGTGGACATGGTGTGACTGCACCCAAACAAGAATACGGTATGGGGCTAGGTAGCCAGTAGTTATGCATGTATTTACTATATAAGCGGATTGCGATCCGCTAACTTGTACTTGTTCTCAGTATAGAACGAAAGGTCGGTGACCTAACTTACGCTTCCTCAAGCGCTAAGCTACGGCAGCCCCGCTGCAACCCGAATCCAAATCTTGACATAAAATAGGATATGTACATATCCACCTATTAATTAGCGTAGTGCACATTAAATTATCCAGTAATAAATGTGTAGTACACAAAATGTGTAATGGGCCTACCACCCCACTACAACCCCTAGACGCCCATGCTTGCCAGTCAGCGGCATTGAAAGCCTCGTAACAAACTGGGTTCTGATGATGAATTTTACGTTGAGAAGAGCTAGTGTAGCCGGGTTATTTTCCTCGGTCTTAAACCGGTTATTGTGACTGGGATTGACACATGCAAAAAAGCGGTGTCTGTTTCTTCTGTGTAAGTGGCGGAGAAGCATGCGAAGCATGTTCAAGTGTACTGACACTTTGTTTGCATGTGAATCGGATAAAGCATAACGGTTCTTTATGCGCAGAAATTGAGCAAAAACGTCTTCATCTATGATACAAAAGGTTGACAGATACTTTCAAACCGTATGAAACAACGAAAAACAATTCAAACATTGATATTACAACTTTAGATCAAAAGTGGCACGAACAACGAAGTGACACGCCTACTTAAAAAGGAGTGCACACACATGTTTTGCGATTAGTATGCGACAGACGGAGAGTCTTAGTCAATAAGAGGGTATCGTAGCGCGACCTTTGTGAAGAAAGTCCGAACTCGGCTATCACATCTGGTCTACCCCATATAACACTATATCAAAGTCACCGCAATGGGTATATCGATTGTGTGTAGCTGCAGCGGGGAACCGTAGCTTCGCGCTTAGAGGAATTGTAAATTAGGTCATTCGTTCTATACTTAGAAAAAGTACGAGTCAGAATGCTAATTAGCTCTTCCGTTTAAAATTCAAACTGATTTTTATTTATTTTTATCTGCGGCAAAGCCGCCTATTTTTAATGTTTAGATTTTCCTCAATATAATAAATATATATAATAAATACATGCAAAACTACTTTCAACCTAGCCACATACCGTATTCTTGTTTGGGTAAAAGGAATGTGCTTTGTTCTCTATTGTACCGCGTGTAGATCGTGGACAATGAGTCCAACCAAGCCGTAATGGGTTACTCTATTCGAGAGAGAGAGGGGATCGCAGTCCAGGATTGCCGTTTGTACATTTTAGGACTCGCGTATAGGAGCGAAAGACTAATCGAATCATCTAGTTTTTGGTCTAAGTAAAGTCGTTAAAAGTCTTGACAGCTTCAAGTTTGTATTGCAAATAAATACGACGCAGGACTGTCAAAATCAGTAGACAGTGCCTAAAGGCATTTAAATCACTAAATACGAAGCCGATGTACGTGTATCGTGCCACAGGGACAAAATAATTAGTGTCAAATGCTACATTAAGCCTTTGACTGATGATTGAGAGGACTTTGACGGAGTAAAACGTTGTCTTATCCTGGACCCGAATTGGCGTAGCTGGACCGGTACGAGTTATAGATCGTCTTGACGCTGAGAAGACCTACCCTTGGATACTTTGGCAAGTCTTGTGTCCAGCTCTTTCAGGATATAAAGCGCTTTTGGCGCGCGAGTGAAGCTGCGATAGCTTTCGTGCAGGGCACAAGAAGGTCCGAAATTGATAGTAATGTTATTACTAGGTACTTGGGTGAGAGCTCGGAAGGCAGAACCGGCAGTAAGACGCCGTTCTAGGATGAAAAAGAAAACGATTGCATATTGCGGTCTTTAAATTGAGTCTCGGTAGGGCGAAAAGTAGCGGCTTAACATTGTGGTGTACTGGTGTATCCTAGGCGGGATGGTAGAGATCATCTGTGAGATGTTTCTCTCTGTGCTGATGGAGCCGACGGGTGACTTAAAGCTACAAGTTGAAACGATATGCCTTAAAGATACGAAGTATAATTCATGATGCGGTGGAAGTGCTGAGTAATCGTCACGAGTGTATGGTGAGAAAATTGCTTACTCGTGAATTATATGACTGGGGTACTTTTACATTGTAAGTCTCCTATCCCTAGCCCCCCCCCCTTTCTACCTTCGACAGAGGCCCTTATCATACTGAAGGAACTATACGTCGTGATATGGGCGAGGAATGGCAAGTCGATGAGCTCACCGAATGGTCCAGATGGTATTCACGAAGGGAAGAGCTTATCACATGCCAGGAATATGACTTGAGAAAGTCGTGGTGCAGGTTGTCTGACAGCTATCCTCAAAGCTTCAATTGATCCACTCTATCATTTGTATATAGGGTTCAACAACGCGGTACCGGTAGACCCACCGCGCTTGCTACCTGCGGATAAAGGAGTGCTTCATAAAGCTGACTTAGTTCCCGAATACACTATTGCAATACAGGG